GCCTGACCCAAGCCATGGTATTTTCAATAACCTCATATGCATCTGGATAGTGAATAAGGAAGACCACAGAAGAATTGATGCATTTGAGTTATGGTGTTGGAGGAGAATATTGAAAGTACCATGGGCTTCTAAAAGAGCCAACATCTGTGTTGGAAGAGTGCTCCTGGGAGGCCAGGATGGCCAAACATCATGTCTCATACTTCAGACATATTGTCAGGAGGGACCAGGCATTGGAGAAGGATATCATGTTTGGTAAGGTGGAGGGTTAGAGAAAAAGAGGAAGACCTCCAGTGAGATGGATTGGCAAAGTGGCAGCATCAATGGACTCAAGCATGGCAACAATCGTGAGGTTGGCCCAGGACTGGGCAGTGTTTCATTCTGTTGTGCATGAGTCAGTACTGACTCGATGGCACCTAACAACAAAATAACAACATATAGATATGTCATGCAGCAGGTATGACATACCAAGAGGTAAAAGAAAAACTTCTTGGACCTTTTTATAAAATCAGAGAACTTCCAATTTGCAATAATGCTTCATTAATGTCTCCTCTAAAGAAGAGGATTGATTCCTGACATCAGCAGTCAAGAGATGTCAGAATGCACAGATCTCAGGGGTGGTATGTCACAGACATTCAAACATGGGACCAAAACATTACTTTTTCCTTGGAGCATAATTTTACCTCAGTGATGGATAATTTAAATAGAATTAAACAATAGATTATAATGATATAGAAAACAAAATTTAAGATTATATTCCTTATGAAATATGAAGATTTGAGAATTGAGAGGTACAAGAGAGATTCACAAAATTTGTAGAAAGTTTTCATTATCTTTTCATTCCGTTTTTCATGAACTGCACTTGCAGCAGGTAGTTTCTATGGTACCTACAGTTCCTCTATTAGGACATGCATAATCTATCTTTAGGAGCATGTTGATAACAATTTTAAAGAACACTCAGAGCCAAACCATCTTAGACCTTCTCCACATTATAGCCAACATATGAACCTCTGTCCACATTTACAGTTCATATGATTTTTTTTTTTTTTGCTGTGATCTTTTAATAATTCTGATTTTTAAATTGTCTATGAGTAGCTCACTTAATTTATCATCAGCCAAAAAAAGGCTGAGGCAGACTATGGGAAAGACCATCAACTGCTCATATGCAAGTTCAGGCTGAAGCTGAAGAAAATTAAAATAAGTCCACAAAAGCCAAAAAATGACCTTGAATATATCCCACCTGAATTTAGAGATTATCTGAAGAATAGATTTCATGCACTACAGACCAAACATCAGAAGAGTTGTGGGATTATACAAAGAACATCATACAGGAAGAAAGCAATAGGTCATTAAGAAGACAAGAAAGAAGAAAAAGACCAAAATGAATTTCAGAAAAGACTCTGAAACTTGCTCTCCAATGTAGAAATGCTAAAGCACGTGGAAGAAATAAGGAGGTAAAAGAGCTGAATAGAAAATTTCAAAAGGCAGCTTGAGAAGACAAAGTCAAGTATTATAAAAAAATGTGCAAAGACTTGGAGTTTGAAAACCAAAATGGAAGAACATGTGCAGCATTCTTCAAGCTGAGGGAACTGAAGAAAAAAATTAAAGCCTCGACTTGTAAATTGAAGGACTTTATGGGCAATATATTGAATGATGCAGAAATGATTTTTTAAAAAAGGTGGAAGGAATACACAGAGTCACTCATTGTACCAGAAAGAGAGGGCTGATGGCCCACCATTTGAAAAGGTAGCATATGATCAAGAACCAATAATACTGAAGGAAGAAGTCCAAGGTACATTGAAGGCATTGGCAGAAAACAAGGCTCTGGGAACTGATGGAATACAAATTGCAATCTTTCAACAAACTGATGCAGCACTGGAGGTACTCACTCATTTATACCAAGAAATTTGGAAAACAACTACCTGGTCAACTGACTG